TTTCCAGGATCTAATAGGCTCAAATCACCCAAACCCATCTGTGTCTCTTGCAGGACCCACCCGGCCCGCGGCTCCCCGACCACCACGCACACCTCCAAGTTTACGCACAAATTCGGCGCCGCAGAGAAGTGCCCCAGGTGTGGGAAATCCGTCTACGCCGCTGAGAAGGTCATGGGAGGAGGAATGGTGAGTCTATCTCGTTTGGCTGTGATGGTTCTACAAAGCCAGGGGGTCCAGAAGTGATGGCCTCATAAGGAGGTGATGGCCTCATATTTCTCAACAAAAGAATTGGCGGATGACCCCAGTCTATGAATAAAACTTTATTGTTCCAGACACATGCACAAAGAAGCCCCGAATGGGAACCTCCCTGCATTGCCACATTACACATGAACCGAGGCTTAATCATAGAGGACAGCAGGCATAGAAGGCCCCACAATTAAGCCCTTTGTGGGTAAAGCTTTATTGTTCTGGACATCATGCACAATGACGCCCCATCTGGAAACCTACCAGACCTGATGCATTTTACCAAAAATGGGCCTAATTGTAGAGACGTCTCTCTTCATTTTGGGGTCAAACGCGTCAAAGCAGGGAGCTTCCCAAAGGGGGGCTTTTTTTCATGTTGTCCGGACCCATAAAGCTCCCCCACTGGGAAGATTCACCCGGGGTGACTTCTGTTGCGTCAAGATTTATTCCTGCCTATAGCAAAGACACGTCGGGGGGGATTAATGGATGCTTTCGTTAATGGCGGTTCTCTTCCTCTGCAGCCCTGGCATAAGACCTGCTTCCGGTGTGCGCTGTGCGGGAAGAGTCTGGACTCCACCACCGTGACGGAGAAGGACGGGGAGATCTACTGCAAAGGTTTGCTCCTAATGAGGGATCAGAACATAGAATCCCAAACTCCCGAGATACAGAGGGTGTAAGAGGCAACCCGTGCTGAGAAATGCTGAGCCATTGGTGCTTTCCTTCTGAAACGGTCCTTGTCATGCCGGTCCTTTGGCTTCAATACCTGGGGTCACCGACGGGGAACAAGGATCAGGAGTTATGACTTCACTCGCTGCATTCTTGTTCCACATTGCGACTCCAGGTATGGAAGCCAGAGACAGCCAGGCAATAACGGAGGTCAGTAATGGCGGCCTACATGTTTTAATAATAACAGGTTCCCTTTAAAAGTGCCGTCATCACATTATGGGGACAGAAAAGGGGAAACAACGCAGTTTGAAAATTGGGTAAATAAAAAATGTTTGCACAAATTTTAAACCAAAGCCAACGGTCCGCTGATTGAATCTACTC